GTAAACGATCGTTAAAAGGTGTTTAAGAGAAGGCTGTGCGTGTTGTTGTCTTCAACACAGTCGTTATTTCGGTCCTGATCCACGCTCCTACCTCGTTGCTTTACAACCAAAGTAACGGCTACGTAGGGGAGTAGAAGAGTTGCTATTATACATTGTACGGACTGTCTGTCTTCTCATTGACTAAGAGCCTACATTTGTTTTTGGAAACCAGCACAACCAACAGATTGGTGACTACTCTGTAGGTTGCGCGCGCAATGCATGCTTCCCAAGGGCAATGTCAAACTTCAGTGCGCCGGTGGGTTTGTCGTTATTTATAATAAGATAATTATTAGATTCGGTTTTCGTTTTATCTGGAATAATCAAGGTCTAGGAAAGTGTTATCAGCCGAGCCCGAAAACCTCGACGTTGATTATTCCGGATATCTCAAAAGCCTTATCCAATAATTGTTTACAAATAACATTTAAAAAAGTCGCAAGACTGAAATGAAAGCTACTTCACAAGTTACCTGATCAATTACTAAGTTAACTTGATTCCAATAGTTTTCTCCTTTTGATATGCGGATATGGGATATGTCTCCACTCCCCCTACCCCCCCCCCCCCAAAAACAATTATGAAAAAAAGAAAAAAAATGGGAAATAGGCCTGGAGGGACGCAAAGAGTTGGCACTTTATGTTTTGCTTGAGGAGTCCTTAGACCCGTTAAAGGTAACCATTTTTCCTTGACTCATGGTAGGTATTTTTGATTTGCGACAGCGGCAGCTGAGACACACTTTTCTAGCTCATGACGCCCCGGTTAAAAGTATAGTTGTGGATGAAAACGAGGAGTTCTTTATTTCTGGTTCAGAAGATGGAGATATAAAGGTAACTACAAACTGCACTTCTAAATCGGGCTATTGAAATGTTCACCTTTTACTGAGGTTCAAACATGTTCTCAAAGCATTGCCTTGTCCCTGTACGGCGATTTGCCAGGCCTTCTCGGTCAGTTCACTTCGGTAACGTATCCGAGGCGAATTGACGGGAAGCGCCTCGTTTTTCCGCTCGGACCATGTGACCCAAAACGCATTAGCTGCGCACAATAATGAGGCCTAGGGACTAGGCAGCTCAAAGCATTGTGAATGCTCTATCCAGTGTGTTTACAATGAATGACGCAGTGGATTTACTGACCAAAAAAATGTGCAGACAAATGCAGACAAAGTCTGGAGGAAAATGAGGAAGCCTTTTTAACGCATCTCCCTTGCCTCAAACTACAAAAGCCCCTACCCCCCTCCTCTTTAAATTTCTGCGACTTATGGAAATCAAGCCAGTGTGGTGTGTTATACAGACCCCCTGTCGACTGAGTGACCAAATTAAGGAATTGGTATATCTTTCTGTTAGGTTTGGGGGTTAGCTGTGCATGAAGAATTGGAGTCTTATCCAAAAGAACACGGCAGAGGAGCGTACCTCCTCAAATACGGGACTCAGGGTGTGGCTCTTATGCACCTACAGCCCAATGGTCAACTGTTTTCGTGTGGTGGAGATGGCACTGTCAAATGCAGACAGCTGTCAATCAGAGAAACTATCGTCAACACCAAGTTACCTTGAACTGGGTTTTGCGTCGATCAAAAAAATACCTCGAAGTGGATTCTCTGTCAGACAGATTGTGAAGTTGCTTTGAACTATGCTTTATTTTGATCAAACAACTGCTTTGAAAGGGAGCTGTTGAAAACAAATCATCGGAGTGAGTACTCAGTCAGTTACTTGGTTCGGCAGCTATTACTCGCAGAAATAATCCTGTCATGCTGCAAAGGAAAGTCTTATGCTTCAGTGGACATTGTCAGGGACGCAAATCAAAGTCTCATATAATCTACAATACTCGTCACATCTGTTGAAAAACACCTGTCATGTTGCCCCCCAATGTTATTCACGTATCACCCATTTGCAATGGGCCATTTCCGAGTTCCCCCGGGCCTCTGTATCAAAACGAGCTTAAGTGCTCAGCCTTTGATATGGAAATGATTCTTTATTCTCATGGAAATCAAACGCGTTTTCACAAGAACGGTTGTGCACTTGGCCTCATTTTGAAACTGAGGGTTTTTGGAACTCGGAAGTGGCCAATTAAACTCGAATCTCAGCATTGGGAAAGGAGAGGAGAAGTACTCTCCGGAAAACGTTAAATAAGTTGATTGAATAGGCGTGACATGAGAAATCCTCAGTTTCAGTCTACTGTTTCAACGAAATTTGACGAGTATTGTAGGTCATTTCAACATTTATATAGCCGTTCCCTACATTGATGGAGAGGCAACCTTGCATTCCTCGCGAACTTCAACCTTTTAGTGTGTTAAAAGGGACTAAATGAACATTGTATGCTGAAAAAGCGTAAAAACCGATAAGATTTTCATTAAACAAAGAGCTTGAATCTAATCTCAAAATAGATACAATCTGTACAAAATTAGTAATTACATTTTATCATGCCAAGACTTGGTTGTCCGAAAAGGTGTTGCATCTGTTAGGCAACGATTTTTAAACATAAACGTTTCGAGACATGTTTGTGTATCAGGGGGCTACTATTCAAAAGCACCCTAAAAATTAGTCGTAATTTTATTTTAACCCCTGCATTTAGCAATCCGGTCTTCTCAAACAGTATGTTCTAAACGAAGAATTTGAACAACAGATCATGGAAAAGCGTTTTCTCGAATTTCACGAAGGCTCCATTACCAGCCGCTTTTCGGGAAATGAGCCCGCGCTCCACTTCCTTCTGGGTGATCAAGAGAATCGCTGCACTTGCAAGGCAAAAAAGTTCCATTTAGGTTCTTTCGGCTGTAGAACAATCTATTTTGTTACATTTGTATTGTACCCTTTTTTGTAATGGATATAAAATATGCTCTGAGTTCTAAAAACTGACACTTTCAAAACGAAGCTAAGGGCCTGTTTACATGGAGGTGGGGGACCCCATAACCTACTTAGGTGGGGTAACCCGCCTCCCGCCTGTCATATAATCTCCAGGAGCTCATCACTTGTGATTTCTCATTGTAATTTGATCGCATTTACATGATAGGTGGGGTGACTCGCCGCAGGGTACCTCACATACCTGGGGTCCCCCACCTCCATGTAAACAAGCCCTAAGTGCAAAATCTTTCTTGTGAAAAATAGTTCGATTTGCATAAGAATAAAAATCCATTAATATCGCACTTAGCCTCGCTTTGAAACAGAGGCTTGGTAGGCATGATTTAAATACGAATTGTAAATAAGCAGAAACGTAAATGGGTTATGTAATTGACCCCAGCTGAGAAAATTGAGGCTTGCAATCAGCCTTTAAGATATTCAAAAATAATTGAAACTGCTCTCGTAATTTTCTCCTTCTTTGAATCGCGAAGAACTGCAGTATTTGAGTATTAGCGTAATCGTAATAAACATTAAACACAAAAATGGTAGATTAAAGAAAAACTGAAACTGTACCTGTCCTCTTGTAACCGTCTGTGAAGTGTGGGACACATCAAAAACATGAGAACGGAACAAAGCTCAGGGACGAGGAAACTTCGTTCCCATGGCTACCAGTGGACGGAAGGAAGAAAGGGACCTGGGACCTAGGGTCTCTCCGACGTTGTCACAGGGCAGAAAACTAGGAGTCTGTTCAAATTCAAAGAAACTTGTACAGGTGGGTTGTTTGGAATAGAGGGAAAATTGTAGTGGATCGTGAGTAAAATGTGGTGGGTCCTGAGTCATGATATTTTGACATTCTTGGGGTCACGTAAGTATACTCTTACTGTATAATATGCCTGCTGTTGAACTGACGCTTAATTAACAATTAATGAATGAGGCTGAGTATCTTATGAAGAATTATGGAGATCTTGGAGACACCCTCCGAGATATCCATAATTCTTTATATCATACGAAAGCCGAATGCAATAATTGTTTTATTATTCATTCAAAAGAATTCCTAGTTTAAAGATAGCTTAAACATGCTTTCCTCCATCGATATTAAGTTCGTCTTCGATAGTGCACGTTTAGGGTTTTTCAGGTCCGCAAATATTCTCCAAATAGCAGATGTCGCCCTTCAAGTTGTCTTCTTGCCATGTTTTTAACTATTATTTCGCCTAATTCTTACTCTTGAAACGAGTGAAATGTTTTCACAACCAAAACAACTCCACCTCGTCCTCAGCTCTTCTCGGTGAACGGTGCATTAACCTGCAAGGAAGTTGTACTTTTGACGTCATCGGTTGATTAATGGCAAAATTCTTCCACATTTGGTCGTCAGTAGCTGGTTACGGTGAATTATGCGAGTGCTTTTAGCCAATCAGAATCGGGGAAATATTTTGAATGAATAATAAAGGCTTTTATTGCTTGGACTCAAACGTCAAATCCTGTCATCGGATGGGAACATATCGTCTGATGTAGTTCTGGTATTAAATGCGCAAAAAGGTAAATAGAGAAGGTTTGAAAAAGCCACATCAATGTGTGGCCATAGACAGAACCATAGACAGCTTTTCATTGCAAATTAAGCTCATCATGCATTAGCCACCGTTTGCTTATCAGTATAGCATATTTTTGCAGCCTGAATAGCAGGCGTCTAAAGGGGTAGACGAGATCGGGAGGAAGGGAAAAAAAGGGGGCGCTTTCCTTTCTCTGTACCCTCCTTCCCTTTTTGCGCCTACTTTACCCTCGATAGCTCGAACTCCTAGACTGTTCACAGTCCTCTATTTTTCCATAAGATCGTCGAGATCGAGCGCTTTGCGTTACGGGCTGTCATCTTGCATGAGTGTCAAAACTACTTGGGGGCCGTGGGCGGTTTGGGAGGAAGCGAACGTTCTATTTTTCTCGCCCCCCTCCACCTAGAGCTATAATCCCCGACGCCTGCCCCCTCGGTACATTTGAAAATCTAGATGGCCGCCATTAACGGTAAGACGCGCTATATTTCCACGATCTCACGAAAAAATAGGGGACTGTCAACTGTCTGTCGAATCCTCGATAACTCGAACTTTTTCTTTCTCCCTTTGAAGGTTTAGGAGTCGACTGTACAAATTTTCACAGTTTTGTATCCTCCAGGATTACCTGTTCAAATGTAAGCTGCAAATTACTGTGGTCCTTTGTCCACATTTTTTGCTGTGTCACCTGCGTCAAAGCGGCAGCCATCTCGTCTGTTCCTATATTTCCTTTGTTTCCTATTACTTGGCGCCCGGTGAAAAAGAATAAGCTTAAGGCGTGTTTAGAGTCGGGAATCCGTAGTGCATACAACACTGGATTGACTAAGGAGTTGAAAAAAAAAAATATCAAGAAAGTCACCAGGAATATGTTGTTAGTTATTTTGTACCCAAGAAAGACCATCAGGTTATAAACAATTGTAGGGATCCAGGAACCCGAAGCGATAAGAGATGCAAATAATAAGGTCTTCGTTAGGCGTCTGTTTTGCAAGGCTCTGTTTTGGTGATGAGGAACAGTTTTTTGCCGAAACTTTCTCCAAATACCGATGTTCAGGCTGCAGATAGTCAGAACAATAGACAAGCCGTATAAACACAGCAAAAAATACAAATCCACTATGCTTAAGAATTTTAGTAGAAAAAAAGTAGAAATAGAACCAAGGATAGCCAATAACCACACCGTCAAAATAACAAGCCTGTACGCTCGCGCAGAAAGTGTTCGGTGCTTCAGCGGCCAATAGATGGCGTAAAATCTCTCAGCAGATATCAAAGCAGCAGAAATAAAAGAGGCCTGCGCGAAAACAACAATAATCATTTTGAGAAAAACGGGAGATCTTTCCTGCGATAACTGTTCGTAAGTTACAAGGGTAAAAATAGATATAGGTAGACACACTTCCCAACAGAAGATCAGCAAAAGCCATATTTATAACAAGATATAAACTTTTCTTCGGCCGAAGCTTCTTGATAAATGTAAAGGTAATAATTGAGAATAAATTTCCCAAAGTAATGAAAGCCGCTTCCCAGGTAAGAACACAACTCCAAGTGATGACTTGTGCGTTAGAAAGGACTTCTTCAGTATGTGAAGGGGGCTCGTCTTGTAAGTCTTTTGTGGCTGCCATCTTCTTCATTTCTTGTTTCTGGCGTAAGTGAAGTCCTTACTTTTCTTGTTAACGCGTTGCGGAGAGGAAAAAACCTGGCCATAAAGCCAATCTTTCTCACAGATGCAATTTTGCTGATTTAATGAAGGTAAAATCCATTATTTTTCACTACCCAAGCTTTAACTATCGCTTGTTTTCCGGCCACTTAACAAAGAAGGACAACATTTGGCATATCTGACAGTAATGAGACCCGTGTAATACACTTTTCGGAAACGATAATTCATCAACGACTTCCCTATGCTTGTTATGCTAGAAGCCGCTACAGCTATACTTACTATTTTAAAGAATATTAGAAATACCTTACATAAAATTATCCCGAAATCACGGATGCAGTTAACATTGCAGTCTAAACAATAAAATAATGTAAAACAAAATACATAGGCAAGAGTAACTTAACAGGCTCCTCGCTATAAAAGATAAAGTTAAGTTGAATGAGTGACGTCATAATGACAAGTTCGATTCAAAGATGTACGAAGAGAACTTTAATTTCAAGCAAACATTAAAATTAAGTAATATCATGCAGTCAAACTTATATGAAGTGTCATGGAAACGAAAGGGCTATTTTCTGGCAAATATTGACAACCGACTGATTTCAGCAAAAAATAAATAAAGGTATGTCGCTAAAATCCTCAACAAACATTAAACAACAACAACACAATAAAAAGTGCAAGCGACAATAAAATTAGTAAGGGAAATAATTTTTCTGTGGTTGTCAAAAATGTAACTTCAAAAATAACAAAAAAAAAAAGCAACTGAGGATACAAATGGAAACGCAGAGGGCCCCGATCAGTAGGCCAAGGAGTAAGCAAATTTAACACGTCAACCAAGAAATTTATCTGCGACCGTTAAAACGATAACTTCAAATAATAAATGTATCCCAATATAGCAAGAGTCACAAAAGTCTGTAGCGATGAAATGGCAAATGCAAAAATGCAATTTCGAAATATCACTCGTGGTATTTATGCCAAATATCACTACAAATCATGCTATTACCTATACTAACTTCTCTACATTTACAAAAATCATGGCCTGCTGAGGGACCTTTCTATTTCTTTCTCATTTGCATTTCTTTCCCTACATGCGACTTTTACTTTTCAAATTTCCACATTTTTGTTATTTCCCTTGGAATAGTTTTTCCTATCACATATATCTAGCCGGATTTTTTAAAACGTTATCGCCAAATGGACCTTTTGTGTCGAAAAGGTTTTTTTGGCCAAAAATTACCTCCAAAGTACCTACTATAAAAGCTAAGAGCGCAACCATTGTTTTTTTTCTCTTCTCCTCCTTTCCTTTTCCTTCGTTACCGTCATTTTGGAGCTTCTCGAGCTTAAAAAACCTGCCTTTTGACGCCTTTTCACTCAAATGACTGCAAATTTCGTTAGGTTGGTTTTCAAAAAATCGGGTAGATATATATTGGAAAAAATATAAATAGTTAGCTGAGAGCGAAGGGTTGTCATCGCTGTATGTCTATAGTGTGCGAATATCTAACAGGGCTGTTTTCGTTCCTCTGTTGGCGATGGATAGGGCAACGAGGGGTTAGCCGGGCGATGCCGATAGCCAGCGCAATTTTGCCCGGGCTGCGGTGGGAGCCCGCTCACGGGTTTCACGCAACCGGTTGCCACTCTGCTGCGCTCATTAATAACCCAGTACTATTACTGGCGTCGGTTTCGACACCATCTTTTTTCTTGTGACTACTTAAGTCCACCCGAACGTGGTGAGGGTGGAATTAGGTAGTCATAAGAAAAAAGTGGTTCGAAACTGATGTCAATACTACTACTAGTGTAGTTAACCTACAACAGCATTCATGATTTAGGTACAAATTTAATATAAAAGCTATGCAGGCGACGCCTGAGTTGCAATTAATTAGCAATTAATCAAGTCCCTTAAGACTTTGTTTAAGACAGCCCACTTCAATGAACAAGAAACACAAAGAAATTTTGAGGAGAGCCCCGTTCTGGTTCGAAACTAATGCCAGTACTACTACCATTGTAGTTAACCTACAACAGCATTCATGATTTAGGTACAAATTTAATATAAAAGCTATGTAGGCGACGCCTGAGTTACAATTAATTAGCAATTAATCAAGTCCCTTAAGACTTTGTTTAAGACAGCCCACTTCAATGAACAAGAAACACAAAGAAATTTTGAGGAGAGCCCCGTTCTGGTTCGAAACTAATGCCAGTACTACTACCATTGTAGTTAACCCACAACAGCATTCATGATTTAGGTACAAATTTAATATAAAAGCTATGTAGGCGACGCCTGAGTTACAATTAATTAGCAATTAATCAAGTCCCTTAAGACTTTGTTTAAGACAGCCCACTTCAATGAACAAGAAACACAAAGAAATTTTGAGGAGAGCCCCGTTCTGGTTCGAAACTAATGCCAGTACTACTACCATTGTAGTTAACCCACAACAGCATTCATGATTTAGGTACAAATTTAATATAAAAGCTATGTAGGCGACGCCTGAGTTACAATTAATTAGCAATTAATCAAGTTCCTTAAGACTTTGTTTAAGACAGCCCACTTCAATGAACAAGAAACACAAAGAAATTTTGAGGAGAGCCCCGTTCTGGTTCGAAACTAATGCCAGTACTACTACCATTGTAGTTAACCCACAACAGCATTCATGATTTAGGTACAAATTTAATATAAAAGCTATGTAGGCGACGCCTGAGTTACAATTACTTAGCATTGCTTTAAGACTTTGTTGAAGACAGTCCACTTCAATGAACAAGGAGCTCAAAAAATTGAGGGGAGCCCAGTCCCCTGAGATTCGCACGCGTCCATAATACATCTAGCTACATCTCCAGGGTGGCCAGCATAGTCAAAACTCCATGCTGTAATCTGAGGCTGCAAAGATACAGAAATAGAGATCAGTGTATGTTAAGCAAGATACAGGTAACAACCATTACACATTGTAAAATAGCATTCAACAACAATGACAACAACACAGGGGTGGGGGAAGGGGCACGACTGGACGACAATAACGCCTGGTACTTGTTCCGGGATTAATAAGAGCGGCCACAGATGCCACTGCTCTAATAGGAGCCACCAACTTTGAGTTGAAGATTCGGCGCCGAGATAATATCAAACGGAACTGAACGAAGACCACAAGCAACTGAGTTCCAGCTCAGTACCTTTTACCGAGTCCTGTTTGGCGACGATTCTGAATTGCCCAAACAGCTTAAAGACCTCGCTGAGGCAACAAAATTTAGCAAAAAGTTAAGCCGAGGCGACCCCCAAAATGGACGCCCACAAACAACAGGGGTTGAGGCATTTCAAGCATGCCAAGTCCAAAGGATCTGGATACAAATACAGAGGTCAAGAGACGAACACAAAAAAGCAGTTATACTGGAAAGGCCCGGCCCCACACACAACAAGCACAATCAAGAGGGGAGGAGGCAAAGCAAGTGGGTCGAAAAAAACCCCTCTAAGTGATTCAGGATGTCGGCTTCAGGCTGGTAGATTGCAACAATTTGTCCCAGCATGGAAAGAAAATAATTACTAGTGACCCTGACGTCTTAGACTGGGTTGAGCACTGTCACATTGAATTTATGGACAACGCCCCTCCAATTCAGTATGGTGTTTGTAGGAGCATCAAATTCAATGACAAAGAATCAGATATCATTGGTGCAGAAATTGCCAAACTCCTGGATAAAGAGGTTGTTGTGGAGTCAGCTCCTTCAGAGGGAGATTTTATCTCCCCTGTTTTTCTAAGGCTCAAAAAGAATGGGATAGATTACAGGATGATTCTTAATTTGAAAGAGCTTAACAAATTTGTGGCCTATCAACACTTTAAAATGGACTCACTTAAATGTGTCACAAGCCTAATGACCCAAGGAATATGGCTTCAGTAGACACAAGGGATTCCTATTACACCATACCAGTAGCTCTAGAGCACCAAAAATATTTAAAATTTACATGGAGGGACAAATTGTATTAATATACTTGCCTACCTAATGGCCTGGCATCAGCGCCAAAATCTTTACTTAGCTCCTAAAACCTGTGTTCAATGTACTCAGACAAAAAAGGCCATTTATCTTTGTCATACATGTACCGGTATATAGATGACTGCTATCTTCAAGGTGACTCATTTGACGAATGTCATGTTAATGTTCAAGACACTACTTTGCTCTTTGAGGAGCTAGGTTTTCCCATACATCATGAAAAATAAGTGCTTGTATCAGCACAGATACTGACTTTCTTGGGTTTTGTACTAAATTCAGTCACCATGACTGTACAGTTAACTAAAGAACATAAGGAAAAACTTAACAATGCCTGCCAAAAATTAGCTGGAAAGGAAACTTGTACAATTCAAAATCTAGCAGAGGTTTTAGGGTTGATAGTGTCAAGTCCTCCTGGAGAGGTTCATGGCCCTCTCCACTATTGGAGTCTTGAAAGAAACAAAACTGATGCTTTCAGGGAGAACAAGGGCCATTAAGAAGCCAGGTTAGCTTCATTGGTGGCTGTCTAATGTAGATCCTTCATTCAAATGTATCTCACATGGGGAGCCTGTATGTCAGATCCAAACAGATGCCTCATCCAATGGCTGGGGAGGTGTAAGGAGAAACCAGAAAACAGGGGGGAGATGGACTCCTGAGAAAGCAACCCACCATATTAACTACCTTGAGTTACTAGCTGTTCACTTGAC